CTTCTGGTGGGACTAGTTGTGTTCAAATCAGCAGGTCCTGATGATCTCCACCCCAGAGTGCTGAAGGAATTAGCAGAGGTCATTGCGGGACCACTGGCACAGCTTTACAAGCACTTGTGGTGCTCTGGTGAGGTGCCAGAGGACTGAAAAAGGGCCAATGTGGTCCCCATTTTCAAAAAAGGGAGGAAGGAGGACCCAGGAAACTATAGGCCCATTAGTCTTACTACAGTCCTGGGAAAGCTCTTTGAGAAAATTATCCAGGTTCATATCTGTGAGGGACCAGCAGGAGAGATTATGCTTAGGGGCAACCAACATTGCCCCTAAGCATAATCATTCATTATGAGGCAGGTCCTGTCAGACCAACCTGGTGGCCTTCTATGACCAGGTCACAAAATCTTTGGATGCAGGTGTTGCAGTGGCCGTAGTCTGTCTGGACTTTAGGAAGGCCTTTGACACTGTCTCTCACCCCATTCTCATTCAAAAATTAGGCGACTGTGGTGTCGATGCCTACATGGTCAGATGGGTAGCTAATTGGCAGGAGGGTCACACCAGAGAGTGGTGGTGGATGGGTCTTTTTCGACCTCGAGGGATGTGGGCAGTGGGGTTCCCAGGGCTCAGTCCTTCGGCCCGCACTGTTCAACATCTTCATCAACGACTTGGACGAGGGGATGAAAAGCACCTTGTTCAAATTCGTAGATGACACTAAGATGTGGGGAGAAGTGGACACGGTGGAAGAGAGGGATAGGCTACAACTAGACCTGCACAGGTTACAGAGGTGAGCAGATGAGACTAGGATGGGTTTCAATACTGACAAATGCAAGATATTGCACCTGAGGAGGAAGAACCAGCAGCATACCTACAGGCTGGGGAACTCCCTTCTTGTCCGCACAGAGGCAGAAAAGGATCTTGGAGTCACTATTGATCCCAAGATGAACATGGGCTGCCAATGTGGGGACGCAGTCAGGAAGGCTAACCGCACTTTGTCATGCAACCATAGATGCATCATGAGCGGGTCTAAGGAGGTGATCCTCCTCCTCTGTGTGACATTGGTCAGGTCGCAGTTGGAGTACTGCATTCAGTTCTGGGTGCTGCACTTCAGGAGGGATGTGGACAGCATCGAGAGGGTCCAAAGGAGGGCCACTCACATGATTAGGGGGCAGCAAGGCAGGCCCTATGAGGGGAGACTATGGGACCTGGACCTGTTCAGCCTCCACAAGAGAAGGTTGAGAGGGGATCTGGTGGCCACTTATAACCTGACTAAGGGGGACCAGCAGGCAATGGGAGAGTCCCTGTTCCCCTGAGCACTACCAGGAGTGACAAGAAATAATGGTCACAAGCTGGCAGAGGGTAGATTCAGGCTAGACATCAGGAGGCACTACTTCACGGTCAGGGCAGCTAGGATCTGGAACCAACTTCCAAGGGAAGTGGTGCTTGCTTCTACCTTGGGGGTCTTCAAAAGGAGACTAGATAGACACCTAGCTGGGGTCATTTGACCCCAGCATTCTTTCCTGCCCATGGCAGGGGATCAGATTTGATGTCCCTTCCAACCCTACCAGCTATGAAAGTATAATTCTCACTCATCTTCTGGAATTTTGAATATGGCCACCACAATATACCTGCTCAGAGAATAATTCCTCATTGCCTTTTGGTGTCTTTATTACAGTTTATGATAAATGCTTTGGAGAGCTATGGTGCCTATTGCAGCTGGACTGGGATCAGTACAAAGAAGTCCAGATTCTGGGAAAGTATCACCCACTAGAAGTATCTGCGAATATCAGGGAACATGCAGGGTGGAAGTATCTTCCACATGATCCGGAAAGATATTCAGACATCCCTTCCTGTTATACAGCGGAGGCCAGGGGCCTAGAGAGAGTAATGGGCGGGGGTGGGGGGGCAAGGTGAAGCCTGCAGTTTGCGAGGTTTATGGCCTGCCTGCTTGCCTATAAATACTCACTAACCTGTCAGTTGCACCATGTCACCTAGGCCTGTGTGAGTTGGCAGCAATCCGATCCGGCTTCAGATCCAGCCACTTTGGATGGCAGCGATCCGATCCAGAGCTCTGGACCGGGTTTCTGCCTCGATCCGGTTGAAGCAGCTCAGAAGCTTCGGAGCCACTTCAGAGATTCAGCCATCGGGTATAATAGGGAATCAATGAAATATCTATAACTTTGTTGTTTTTTGTCCAATTTGGATGAAACTTGCAGGGGTGGTAGCCTCTGCTGACAGCATGAAGCAGTGCAGGGGTTTTGGGGGAAATGTACTCCAAATTCTTGAAAGCCAAACACATGTCATGTGTAGGAGTTACACCACGTGGGAAGTGGGGGTGTCAAAACTGCAGGGGTGGTAGCCCCTGGTGAGGCCACAAAGCCTGCCAAGTTTCAAGAAGATTGGTGCAGGGATTTTGGGGAAACTGTACCCCAAATTCTTGAAAGCAAAACTCCTGTCACGTCTAGGCGTTACAACACGGGGGGGGTCAAAACTGCAGGGCTGGTAGCTCTTACTGAGGCCACAAAGCCTGCCAAATTTCAAGAAGATTGGTGCAGAGGCTTGGGAGGAACTGCACCCCAAGCTGCGGACAAGCAAAACTCATGCCATGGGTGACCCTGTGTGTGTTAAGGCTCAGTGGGGTGACAGCTGCAGGGATGGTAGCCCTTGCTGTGGCCACGAAGCCCGCCATCTGTTGAGGAGATCGGTGCAGGGAGGTTCTGGAGCCCTGCATCCGTAGCGGCTGACAGACAAAACTCCTGACATGAGTGCCTGTGGGACTGACTGTCTCCGTCTTCGGGCAGTTGATTGTCTGTATTGATTATTTCCTCTCCTAGTCTGGTTTTGTAGGTGTTAACTGATGGTAATTAACAGGCTACATTAGCTAGGTCCTGTGTATCCAGCTGGTCCCTGAATGAATCATGACTGATTGGTAACTGGTAACACAGTAGCTTAGCAGCCAGGCCTGCAGTAGTGTCTCCCATGCCCCAAGACAGAGACAGATACAGTTGCACAAGCATCCATGTCATGAGTTTTGTCTGTCAGCAGCTAGGGGTGCAGGGCCCCAGAACCCCCCTGCACCGATCTCCTCGACAGTTGGCAGGCTTTGTGGCCGCAGCAGGGGCCACCATCCCTGCAGCCGTCACCCTGCTGTGCCTTAACACACACAGTGTCATCCATGTCACGAGTTTTGCTTGTATGCAGCTTGAGGCGCAGTTCCTCCCAAACCCCTGCACCGATCTTCTTGAAACTTGGCAGGCTTTGTGGCCTCAGCAAAAGCTACCACCCCGGCAGCTTTGACCCCCCTGTGGTGTAACACATACACGTGACAGGAGTTTTGCTTTCAAGAATTTGGGGTACAGTTCCCCCCAAACCCCTACACTAATTTTTCTTGAAACTTGGCAGACTTTGTGGCCTCAGCAGAGGCTACCACCCCTGCAGTTTTCATGCCCCTATGTTGTAACACCTAGACGTGACATGAGTTTTTCTTTCAAGAATATGGGGTTCACTTCCCCCCAAACCCCTACACTGATATTCTTGAAACTTGGCGGGCTTCATGCTCCCTGAAGAGTCTACTGCCCCTGAAAATTTCATCCAAATCGGACAAAAAACAACAAAGTTATAGATATTCTATTGTTTCCCCATTATACCCTATGGCTGGATCTCCGAGGCAGCTCCGAGGTGGCTCCGAAGCACTTCGGAAGCTCTGAACCACTTGGGGAAGCCTAACGAGGCCAGTGCTTCAATTCGGACATGCTGTTTCAGATGCCAAAGTGTCCAAAGCTTCTCTGGATCTGAAGCTGTATCCAAAGCCTCACACAGCCTTAATGTCACCCACTTATCTCACAGGGCAAATTACTCTTACTTTTGCAGGAAGATAGGAGCATGTGTGGAAGAACTCTGCACAGCAGGTAGATAAATAGAGCATTTCCCGAAAGTGGTTTCCAGTATATTTTGGAAAGCTGTTTCCTTAGCAGATCAAGACTTGACTGCTTGTTCTCATGAAGTTTCATCTTTATTAGGCATTCTACACTAGTGCCAGATATGTATTTGGCTGAAGTGTGTGTCTGCAAACAAACTGAGCAGCTAACACAGAACTACCAAAATCAAGGTAGTGCAGTGGTGCTCAACCTGTAGCCCATGGAGCAGATCTGGCCCTCAAAGCCATGCCATCTGGCCTGTGCAACTCCTCACAGACCCTGAAATTGGGCAGCAGGGGGAATGGTGGCAGGATCCCACTTGCAGTAGTGGGGGACCAGTGACAGTGTTAATTGCTGTAGCTCTCAGAACTATGGCAAGTAATGCTGCCATAGCTCCCCTGCTGCTAAATTTGAGAGCCCATGGGGAATCCCATGGGCTGAATGACATGGCTCCACACACTGCATCTGGGCTGGCGCATGGATAAAGTTGGCATGCAGAATCAGGTTGGCACTGTGGTCAGATTCACTGCACAGGGCTGGGCTGGGCTGGCACACTGGGTCACACCCATGCACCTGTGCTGACCCTGTGCTAGAACTGACCCACAGGCCAACCATATGAGCCAGATTTAACACACAGACTAGCCCCACACCACTCATCCAGCCTGCAGGGCCAGAAGGTTGAGCACCACAGTGATAGTGCATTGCAACCTGCAGTAGACTTATACACAGTACATCTACAAATGGGATTTCCAAGGCATGTCAACTGTGCCATATATGGCCCTGAACTTTTATGTTCAGTGTAGAATTCTTCAAAGAATCTGTCTCTAAGCATATATTACAAAAGAATTATTTGTTTTTCATGAAATAATGTTGTGTAAGCATTATGTTTTGGGTACTTAAGAAAATGAATACTATCTTTAGCATAAAAATGTTGTACTCACAGAAATAGCCCTCCCACCAGCCTCAACATAGTCTATAAAGCCTACAGTTTCTTAACTATATTCTTATGATTTTGTTCAACAACTAATTCATAATAACCATGAGATGGAAAAACAGTTTTATTTTTAGTTTAGCAGAAAAATGGGATTAACATACCAATAGAGAAGACTTTTCTTCAATCATTGCTTTTACAAAAGCTAAAGCTTCTGAAGTAGCAGACCTAATATTGTCAACTCTCCCCTCTTCAAATCGCCTTATAGAAGCACTTTCATAGGTGGGAACAAGTCTCCCGTGGCATCTGAGAGAATGAAATAAAAAAAACCAAGGAATCATTGTTTTCAGAGAATCATAAAGGCAAAATGATATAGAGGCTCAGTAGGTTTTATTTTTACAACCTTGATTTTATTTTTATGTAGTATTTCATTTTAATGATAATAGAATTCTATACAAAAATTACAAAAAAGATGGATGCTAGCTCCCTTCTAATACAATGAGCTGTAAGGAATTGGGTATATTTTAGTTATATAGTGCTAGTAAAAGAAATATGTGTTTGTGCAAAAACAAAGCTAGTGAAACTAGAATTTACTGAAAGATATCAACAGCTGTTTTATTGGCATGGCACAATAAAATAATTCTGTGATTAATCATTTACTTACAGGACTAGAACATGTTTTATTGAAACAAGAAACTTTGCATGGCATGGAGCATGTGTGTGTATGTGTCTGACAGAAATTAAAATGGGTGAAGAATGCCATTTCATATTTAGATTCAAAGGTGAAAACAGAAGTGTTACTATGTATTTCTACTCTTCTGCCTTTGCAACTAGGTGTCTAACTGCTGTGCCCCACTGAAGGAATTTTACAAATCACTTTGACTTATTCAGACTGCTGTTGAATTAGGGCTCCTGGTTACAGCACAATTGTCCTGGAACCGTAACTTAACTCAGACCTAGAAACTCCACTGAGATTTTAGCTACAAACAAGTTTGACACCTGTTGACTATGATAAGGTGGAAGACCATTCCAGGATTTAATTAGCTGTGACTGGGAATTGTTGGTATAATAACCCATACTGCGAAAAACCACACAACTGGTTTAGCCTGGAATTTTAATTGTCCTAATAAGCTATGAATAATGAAGGCTTTAACAGTGGGAAAAGCCCTGGGTAACTCTTAATTTCAAAGTTTACAGTATCCAGGGAAAGTCCAAGACCAGTTTGTCAGCTGTACTATCCATAATGCTCTGCAAGAGTAATGCATACTGTTGAAATACGTTGATAAAATCACAGTTGCTGTCTATTGGTGGAGAGGTGAGGGCATTGTGAGGGGATATCCAGATCCTTGTGGGTCTGTGGCAGAGTTTCCTTCCAGAGTGCTGGCTGACAACATGGACAAGTGCTTGCTGAAACCCTCTTAATTGGGGGCTTCAGACTCCTTCTCTTGACACCTTAGAGTATCATGAATGAGGTGAGAGCCCATCATTCCCTTCACATACAGTGATGGTGAAGGTACAGGTGTTGGGGTATGGGAGAGAGAGGCAGGCAAAATGAAAGGGAGACTGAAAGGGGGTGAGACCAGAAAATGGAGTGTGAGTGGTGGAATGGAGGTGATCATGAATGTGGGCTGCTGGGTGAATTAGGAGGGAGGGAGTTATAGAAAAAGATAAGGCAGATGATGGAAGAGAGAGAGATTGTGTACATGGGTTGTATGTTTTGCTCAGACAGTCACTGACTTCATACACATACAAAGAAATTAGAAACCATACTGGTGTAAACTGCGTAAATTCCTTGGACCCAGCCTATATATGAAGAGAAGTGGCAGACTGGATTGGAATAATTTGTGTATGTGTTAGCATCTGCAGCTTGACTGTATCCATTTAGATGCCAGTATTCTTTCCCCAGGACTTTCCTTAAACTAAACCTTCTACTCAGTCATGTCCTTACTCAGTTAAAACTTTCATTTGTGTCCTCTAATTATGCATAATTATGAGTGAGGCACAGAACTGGGTCTCATTTCATGACACTGTGCTGAATTTGAATTTAACTTGGATTATAATAGAAAAATTAGATATGCAATTTTTATCATCTTTATCTGTTATAAGAACTTGCTTCTCTTCAGGTTTTTAAATGTGTTGTAGCTTTATGATTACTACCAGAATATATGTTTCGCTTATTCTTCTGGTTAACTCAAATGTTTTCATTTTGGTTGAGAAACAAGTATTCCAAATAAGTGGTATGCTACTTGTCAAAGCAAAGTGGCTTCTACTGTGGGTTAAGACAGGATGGATTTCTATCCTGATTTTAAAGGGTCCAGACATGCATCCTTGAGGCAGACATAACTTGCTTTCATGCTAAAGAAAGCGTGTTTATGTGCACAGTGTAGGATTGGGCCTTTGGGACAACTGAGTTATTGCAGATTTGTTCTTGTGGTAACTTATTCCTATTAAGTAAATTAACATACCTGTAAAAGGCTAGTTGAAGTGCTACTTGAATGTAGGCATCTGGGCTAATCTTTTGTTTCTTGATAAACTCTTTTCCATAGTATTCAAAGTTATAAGCAATAAAATCGAGATTCTTTACTATCCTAAAAAAAAATAAAGTTGTTTTATTGCAGCAGAAGTTTATGAGATACAATTCTTAGAGAACCTTTTGAAAACATTTTTGTATTACAAAGTTTGCAATGTTTAAATAATGGCTAGACTATCAAATGCACACCATAACTTATTATGGACTTCCATTTTAAAGAAATGGCACCTTTTGTTTATTTAGAAATAAAACTAGTCCTTTGGTATCTGGAATGGTTTAATACCTGACACATATATGTTAGCAGCATCTAATGTGATTGCATGGGCAAAAACATAACAGATTTGACATAACAAAAACATTTGACTATCTGCATGTCTATAGTCATTTTCTAGTGAACGTCAGAAAATAGGTTGAATCTTAAAAACCACCATTTTATCCTGTTGTAGAATTCAGGTATAGTCCTGAAAATCCACCCCAGAAGAGCTAGCATGGGTACATGCAAATTACATTCTTTAATTCAAATTGTTCAAATTGTTCAAGCCAGTTGTTTAACACATTCTTATATACATTTCCCCACATTTTTCATGCAGCTTTAAAAACAGAGGCCACTGTTTGCAATCTATGCAAATAATAAATGCCTTACTAGATTTATTTCCTGTGATATTTGTTGTTACTATATCTATATCTATATATCTATATATATAGGCTACCAATCCTGGTAAGTGTTGAGCATCTTCAGCTTGTGTGGGAGTTGAGGGTAATCAGTACTACTTTGGATTAGGTGCCGTAATGCATTACTAGTCCTAAAGCTACACACTTGCAACGGTGGGTCATTAAAGCCATTGAAATTTGCAGTACCTTTGAAGTTTTTCTGCTGCTGAAGATAGGTGTCCCTGAACTTCTGGAGAACACTTCCATCTTAATCGCCTTGGAGCAGGAAGCTCACTTACAGAATCAGCTCTGACTAACTTCTTACAGCTTTCCTTCCTGCAAATATGTGACAGAATATACATTAACGACCTGCGTGACAACTTGCCTGTTACGAAAGGTGCTCTTAGCATGTTCTGGGTAAATAATTACTTCTTAGCCTGTCAGAGAAAAATCAAAGTGATCTCTCTTTGTTTGCAGGGTCAAATATACAAATTCAGTAGGCCAAATTCTGATATTATAGTAGTATAAATTAAGAGTAATCCCAAAGAAACCAGTTTGGGTGTTTTCAAAATCCATGATCTTAATTTGGGTTACGCGCTCCTTTACTGAGCCAAAACCTGGTAATTTGAAGGGCAAAAACTCCCATTGATATCAAGGCAACTAGAATTTGGTTCATTAAAAAGAAGTGAAAGAAAAGAAATTATCTGAATTGTAATCTGCATTTCCAGTTGTTATGAACCATAGTGAAGCATGCATAGCCACTGTGTGGAGATGGTACTTAATACTGATTTGCAAATGGGGGTGAAGTGCACCTTGGCCTTCATCCGTCCTCATGCACAGAGCTGGTTTTTACCGAGTGGGAATTCCAGGAAATTTGGAGGAGGTTCTGATTCCTCTTTCTTTTGGGTACCTGAACTTCTTTCAAACATTCAGAAGGCCAAATAAAGGTTTATGAGCAAAAATATATCTGGATCCTTTCTTGTTGTGGTAATAATGAGGGAGGACTCACATGTGCTTGAGCAAATGTTCGGTGCATTGTACCAGGACGATCCCATCAAAAGGAGAGTGTTCACACACTGTACCACACACTCCATCTCTTCCCACTACAAACTGATGAGGGAAATACCATCACATATATGACATCAGTAGGATCATTCAGTGATACAAACAAAGCAATATACACTGGCAACATAATGAGAGGGATTGTTTTGCCCTGTTTTGTTATTGGAATGCATCTGGACCCTGATGTCATCTAGAGGTCTACTAGAATCAGAGTGTTGGGAAAACTTCATGTTACACTGAAAGACCTGGCTTTCAGTCATTATATTGTTTTGGAATCAGTCTTGGAAAGTTCTTGAAATTAGCAACTTTTATTGATCTCAGTGGAAAATGGAATTAGCTTTTGCCTTCATGACCGAGTAAATCATCTCCTAAAGAGGAGGAAAATGGCCCTCATTTCTCAGTTTCTGGACATGCCCCAAGGCAGGTTTGTGCTACAAAAGCCCCTTTATTGTCTTATTTTACTATTGGTATTCATTTGCATCACACCACCCAGTGGGCTTTTAATTGGCATCTCTATCCTCTTTCCTTCAGCGCCTTTCTCACATCACTTTCTCCCTTTCTATATGTTATAGTCTTCATCCCCTTTTATTCTAAATTTTAATCTCATACAGATTGACATAATGGGATATGATTAGCCTGCTGCTCTTCACCTTTATTTTATATTCTCTTTGCAATCAACCAGCAACAGACACTTTACACCAAACTGATTTTTTCCCACCAATTGTTGGTTGTCCTTTTGAGGAACATATTTTGTTTGGACATCTTTCAGCCTGTTCATGCTGTAAATTTCTGTCTTGTAAAAAATATCTGCCCAAACACAAAGAACATTTTATTACATCAAATATGAATGTATACATAAGCTACTTAATTTCTAATGGTTACTATCCTGTTTTGAAAGAAGACAGATCATATGTGATAAAAAGTCAATATACAAATATAGGGACATTTAAAATTTATTGATGCCCCATTGAAAAACTTATACAAATTTAGAAAAAAAATCCTATTGTGTGAAAGGCTTTCTATATTTTGTACATTTTCAGGAATGAAAATAGTATCTGTGTTTCTTAGGGTTTCCTCTGTGCCTGTTATTTATTCCTTACATTAAATAAATTCAGCTCTCCATTTTACTCTGTTGCTATTAGTGAATGTGATGATGTTAATGAGGGCCAAATCAAGCCCATTATCCTTCATTTATGACATAATTAATTAGTGGCTGTGGAAGCAACAAGGGACTATGATTAGAAAGGAGATGATTCATTCTTAAAACAGTGTGTCGGCTGCTGATCCCATTTCTACTGGCCCAAATCAGGAATGACTACTGAAACAGAATTACACTAGTCTAAAACTGGTTTGGGTAAAATCAGAATAAGGTGCCCTGTTTTAATGTAAATACCTTTAGCATTTTCAGGAAAGAGCAAGAGGCATCACAAACATGAAACAACGTACTGCAAAGTTATATAATTATTATAAAGGCATAAAACTATGCCATTTTTCCTGGAGTTTTTCATGAGACATCAGCAGTTCTATCAGCCTGATAAGTATGTGATACATGACTGCACACTAGATCCTATCACAAAAGGTACAAATAATAGTGTGATGTTTTAAAATATGACAGTCAAACCATGGTGGTTAAAAGGATCTGAAAAATCCACGCTTCCAAGAAGAACTCTTCCAGAATGTCATTTTACAAATAAATGATCTGTAACTGAAGGCTCAATACCTGGTTTAGTAAAAAAAGCTACACTATAATGTTACTGTTTTTATACACCAGAAAAATAGTGTAAGATGAGGAAAAGTTGGATGCTCATCTTCTTTTCAGGTTCCTAATTTAAACTTTTTCTTTCATTTGGTATGGTATAAATGTATTTCTGCATGCTGGATTCTGAAGGAGAGCCATATTTTTTCAGGTGCATGGCTAAATGGTAACTTAACGAATTGTAAAACTGCATGTGTTAGAAATGACAAAGAATGTACTCCGACACCTACACCTTTCATTCCCCAGGGAGATCAATAATCTTGCTTTCCTGTCTGTATGGAGTCATTCTAAGTTTCAAAACCAGTTCATCCCAGCATTTTCCTTAATACGGTTCTCCTTCCAGTCTGTTGATTTCTGGTATGAGTATCCTTTACTAGTGGTCTATGACTAAAGTTCCAAAGGAAATGAAAGCCCTCTTTAAAGTGCACTGCTCAAAGATGGAATGTTCATCATCTTAACTCCTGTGATGATCACCCTGATATGTAGGACTTGAGTCTTTAACGTGTATAATAGTAAGTATGTGTTAGCGTGCAGCAAGGACTTACCTGCATGGGTTTGTCATACCAGCGATTGGCACCATTTTTATCATCGCCTCCCCCATGTAGGAGTTGCAAAGCCATGTTTGTGTCATTGATTTCCATCCCACTTGGGCTGTCCAGGCATACCAGGCACATACAGCGTTCAATCATGTCAAGAGAATCTCGATTGGTAGAGTCTGTGGATACAGCATTAAAATGTTTACGACTCTGTACTATGGTAGCTGGAGGGGTGCACAGTGCAATCACTGATATCAGATGCAGGATATTTCCTTCCCCTAGGAATTCAGTCTCTTGTGTTTATTTTGCCAAATAACTTACAGTAGTATCAACCTCCAAAAATTATCCACCCTGCAAATGGGGTCCATTTCATTACATTGTGGGGTTTTTATCATATTATTTTTTGCGTAGTGTAGATATATCAGTTAATTTTACTCCCATCACATTAGGAAATATTTGAACACAATGCACTTATATTGGTTTATTTGTGTTTTTTTAAATTGGGCTGTGACTTTTTCCCTTCTTTATAATGCATAAATACAAGAATGATTTATTTCACATTTTATCAGGGTTTAACTCAGAAGTAATAGGAACATAGAACCTTGCCTTCTTTGGAAAGCTGGTTTGTGGTACAGGGTATTTATTTTGATCTCTTAAGCCCTGAATAGCTGGTTAAAAGTGTAGAATCTTTAACAAGACTATTTGCATTTGAAGTCGTGTTATTCATTAATTGATATTAAATTAGTGTTAACACATCAAACAACCCCTCCAAAAATTTCAGATAATGACTTCAACTTCCATTTCCTTGTAAGAGCTCAGCTCTCACTCTTACTTCATTCAATGCTACTGGTAGAGCTGAGCAATTTTTTTTTCCAGATATGTGGTTCACTGAAAAATGCAGATTGGGTTTACCAAAACTTCTGCAAATCCCTGCTATTTTTGCCAAATAGTTATGGCTGAAAAAACTTACCAAAAAGGAAAACATCAGCTACTAAATAGAAACAGTAAAACATTTCTGGTTTTAATTTTGAAGTTATATTTCATTTCAAAATTCACTAATATTTAATTTTATATATCTAAAGAAAACAACAAGCAACAACAAAACACATTACAAATACCATTTTTCTACTAAATTTTTGTTTCATCAGGAAAACCAGAACCATTTCTGTTTGAGAACACATTAATCACTTATTTGCACAGCACTAGTTATGCTAGTTTTGTGCTAGCTCTCCAGTCAGCATGCAGTGAAGAGGAAGAAGGCTATCCAAAAAGACCAGAAAGAAAACGGAGGCCAAGAACTATTTCAGGATGTTGAATGAGTAGGTGCTTCATTGGCCCATTCTACAGGGCAGCTCCAACAAGAAACAGCTGGGATCCATTGACTGAAACTACCAAATAGTCTTGTGCACTCTTTGCTTGCTCTAGTTAGCCATTTCTCTCAAGAGTAATCTCACTGGTTTTAGTTACCTACAGGTAGCTTTAGGAAAAGACCCAAGGCTTGCCAATCTCAACAAGTGGTTTAAAATGTGGACCTTCAAATCCCGGTAAGTTCCTAAAGAGACTTTAGCTGAGTAGTTGTAAATGATGGTATGTATATATAAAATGCATGTTAGGAACCCATTTCTATATCTTAATTTTAAAGCCAGGTCTTCTGTTAAATTTAATTCCTCTGTAAAATGTATGGCACACAGTAAACACTGAGGTCTTGGTTGCTGTTTGTTGACTCTTAAAAGCATCATGACATTTTTTAAATAAGAATAGATCTTGCTGCTGTGTCTTGAGTGATGAATCTATTCTTTCCCCACTGTGCATCATTCTGAGTTATGTCAGAAGACCCTGTATTGTACTGCTTTGTGTGCAGTATTAAGTGCACTGGGATCCTTCAAGAAGGAGGTGCTATATAAATGTCTGATGTTATTTCTGTATACAGAAGCCACCTAGTACTTTAGAAGCAAAAACTGGCTGAAGAATTAATTACAAAATTGCCTTCCATGTTTTCTTACAGTTCAGTGTTTTGCTTATGTGACCTGACAGGCATATATATTTTATCATGGCTGCTGCCTACCCACCATCACCTAATATGCAACTTTTACTCTGACATATGGATTCAGGGTTCCTATTGCTTAGGTTTAGATGAAGTAAAATGAGGCTCCTATGTTAGAAACAGAGAAGCAATGGGAAACTGCCCTTGCAAATGAACCAGAACACGTCCAGAGAGGCAATCAGTCAAACACTGACAAGTTTATCATGTAAAGCAGAAAATGAACTGAAAAGAAATTGTGTACTGAAACTAGGGAGGGAAAATATTTCAAGAAGTAATGAAAATAAAGGACTAGCAGAGGAAAACAAGAACAATTTGTCTTGTTACTACCTTACCAAATGTGCTGGTTTACATTTAATATAGTAAGTCAAACTTCTTAAAAAGCCTTTTTTAAAAGGGAAAGGTAGGAAGGGAGCAATGGACCAAACTTAGATAATGTGCATGTGAGGCTTCAGCAGAGTTATACTTGCTTATACCAGATCTCAGCTTGGATTTATGTATCTGATTAGAGCTGCAATATGAACTCACAATTAATTACTGTATAGGGAGGGAGATGACTGGTATCAAAAGTTCTCCTTATGTCCTTCACTGATACAGAAGCAATTTTTCTGCTCTACATTATTTTGATATTTATGTGAGGTCATGTAATAGAAAGCAATTCATTTGAAAATAGGGGTATTAATGGTGTTTTCAGAGATGATCTTAGTAAATATTCAGGAAACGGCAGAATAAGCTTTAGCGGTTATCTCTTGCTTTTCTTCCTTTCCAATGGAATGACCCTAATATAGCCAACTCCTGTGACTTTAACTCTTAAGTTTTACAATATTTACTGTTTTACTTAAAGCTCAAGTTATGAAAAAGGATGAGAAGGTAACATTCATTAAAATTAAAATATTTCTGCTATCATAAAGGCGGAAAAAAGATCGAGATCATGTTGTAGATGTATCCTGGAGGCTTAGGCACCAAAGGCAAGAAGGATTTTATTTTCCAAATCTCATGATTTTAAGACCATCTTGTTATAGATTCATAGATTCTAGGGTCGGAAGGGACCTCAATAGATCATTGAGTCCGACCCCCTGCATAGGCAGGAAAGAGGGCTGGGTCTAGATGACCCCAGCTAGATGCCTATCTAACCTCCTCTTGAAGACCCCCAGGGTAGGGGAGAGTACCACCTCCCTTGGGAGCCCATTTCTTAAGGCTTGTTGCCCATTTCTTAAGGCTCAATTGGGAGTCATTTCTTAAGGCTTGTTGTATGAATTCTAAGTTGTTGGGATTGGCAGTCTTGCTGCACTGTCTTCTTAAAACTCAGACCAATAGAAAAATAGGTTCAGCTATATCAGCTCTTTGTGCAAATGTTAATACCAATTTAGCTGAATGGGCGTTTCTTTCCTCTTTTTGCTTAAATTTGCCAGTTTGGTAGTTATGGTTTTTTGAACGGCATGTTTCTTCAATTCTTTTCTCTTCAATCATCTATGTAACTGCAGTTCTCAAAGGAGCAATAAAACTAGGTGTCTGAAATGAGTCCTGAAGAAAATTCTAATGCTACTATATCTGAAGCAGTATCATTATTCATCTGGTTAAAAACATTTCTTGAGTCTAGCGTATTGGTAAAAATATGCTTTGATTTTTTTGTTTTGTTTTGTTTTTTGGAATATTGAGATCTATGAAATTGACTCATTCATATTTAGTAATATTTTTTTTTAGATTTTTTTTTTTTACCTCAGTGTCACTGATAATGGTTTGGCATTGGTTAATGGCACAGTGTTATGGGAAAGAAAATGCTGACAATTTTTATGTTGGATGTGACCTGTTGAATTCACTTTCCAGTACTGTGTATCCTTCATGAATTATAATCAAAGGACAGTTTGGGAAGTGATTAGGAAGAAATAAATTTGGATGAAATAGTACAATTTGCATAAGTTGAAATGTAAAATGTGTATGCCCTTCTAGCATAGGTTCATATTATATTGTAAGCAGAGACTCTGGAGGAGAACATTTGCAAACCAGAAAGAAAAAAAAAAACAGATGTGGAAGAAACTGTGAACAATCAAACAAAAGGAGGTGGCATTCCAAAGGAAATACTTTGTTTCTGTCAGAGGTTGTAGTTATATGTAAAAATTTTCACTATTTGTTGTATGCAATAGGGGAAAATTCTTG